CTCAGCCAGTAGAGCCGGTCTCGCTGGCTGGGCAGCGAGACCGGGATATAGAGACTGGGAGAAATCATAAGAGGGAAGCACAATGGACCACTACAGGTCTAAGTGCATGGGGAAACCCACCCTCTCTAATAACTAACTAACTGGGGACCAGCATTTTTAAACCTACTATCCTAACTTGTGCACTGTTCACTTAAAAAATTAATATAAAATCTCCTAATTAATTTTATGAACTAAAATTTTTGGAGAACACTTACCAGTGCTCCTAGAAGTGCTTGAGAGTGTGATATTTCTGGAAACATTCCCCTTTGTGAAGTGGCATTACACAGAACTTGCACATGCAGACAGTCATACTCCTTTTGTTGTGTACTGTGCAAACACGGCATCACCTAGAAGGCTGCTTCCCCTTGGCATGTTCACTCTTCACAATTTTCACAAGGGTATGTTTCTGCATATCACCCGAGAGTCGCCCAGGGAGGTCAAAATGAGGCCTGCATGGGGTGGGAGTAGAGGGCCCCGGTCGTACTAAGACTGTGTCTGCCGCCGGTTCTGCTGCCACCGTGGTCTGTAGCCCGGGCTTTTGCCACATTCAGCAGAAATGCCTTGTATTTCAATTTTGAATGAGGGTTTAGATTTTTGAAAACCAAAAATTAATTGAAAATGGCACAATTTATAAGCCACAAGGCAACTTTCTTTGTCCATGAAGAAAGCAGTCTTCTGGGATTTGGCACCGTGTATATGTGGTGTTAACCGACGTTTCGGAGGAACTTATCGCCTCCATCTTCAGGGTAGAAGAAAAATATAAGAAATCCGCAAGCGAAGAGACCATGAGAACCGGTAAAAGCAGACTGTCCACTTTATTATTTTCCTAGGAAGAGAATAATAGGCCAAGTATTGATCAGCTCTATCAGCTCCCTTCATGAACATATTATACTCAGAAATACAAATAGGCTTCTTTACTTGTCCATGTCTCCTGTGAACATCAACCATCGAATTGTAAATTGTGAAATCATATTCACAACACAAGCATCCTTATCCTAAAAAACAGTTCTGCTACTTCAGACACTTGTGTTGGGTCCGATGGAATTTGCTTCACCCCTGGATTTCCAGTAAACTGTCCCAAAGCAGGCGTTTTGTCTACTTTTCCCCATGTGGCTCTCCCCGCAATCTTGCTACCCGCACTTTCGTCAGAGCTACTGTCACTTTCACTGTCTGTGGCCACAATTTTTTGTTTACCCCTGCCATACTCACTATCAGATTGTGAGTTGCTATCACTAGCAGACTCACAAGGGACGTCAGATAGCTCATCGGAGAACAAGTCAGATATTTCTTGTTCTCCGGGAAAACGCTTGGACCTCAGCCTCTTCCGACTGATCCATTTTGCACTAGTAACTTCCTGCCTGGTGCATGCAGCTGGAAGATGAACAAAGGCATTTTCTTTTGGAGTGAGAAAGGAAAACAGCTGGGTCATAAACAGCGGAGTCATGTTACTGACTACGAAGCAAACATTCAAGAGGTCTATCACGCACCAGTCATGCGTCTGCCTGGCGCCAGTGCAAGGTATAGTGTGTTTCAACATAACGTGTCCTAAAGTCATAATAATGTGCCACCAGTGCGCAAAGTGTTAAGTGGTGTTCGGAACACACTGCTCTTGACGTAACCCCACAGGAAAAAATCCAGTGGTGTTATATCTGGTGAACATGGAGACCAAGGCATTGGACCATCTCTGCCAATCCATCTTCCTGGAAATGTCCTGTCTAGGAATGCGGATTTTTTCCTGTGGATATATGTCAAGAGTAGTGTGTTCCGAACACCACTTAACAGACTTGATGACCTGAAGACCCATATCAGGACTGTGATCTCAGCTATTCCAGAGGACATGCTCCACAGAACATGGCAAGAGCTCAAATATCATCTGGACATTCTGTGCTACCAAGGGAGCACACATCAAGATCTAATAAGGTCAGTAAAACACTTCTAGAGTTTTACTATGATCTGCCACAAACTGCATGTGGCTAACTCAATTTATTTGAATGCCACAATTTTTCAAAACCCTGATGGGACTTTGTGGACACACTGTATTAATGACAACACTCTTAATTAATGAAACAATCTTTTTTATCTGAAATTTGTTTTTAAATATATTGCATCTTTGTGCATATTTAAATGGTTAAACACCCAACATTTGTGACAATTGGTTGTGTAGGTATTAAATTTCATGAAATAATTCCTTCTGTAAATAACATATACATTCTAAAATGACACTGCACTGATATGGTTCCTTTTTGGTGCCCTTTCACTTTTTCATTAAAATATTTTACAACCGACCTCTCAATTCATGCAACATTGTCTATGTACATAGCACACTCAAGTGAAGTAATGAGTTACGTGTAAACTTTGGTGCTCTGCATGTAGCTAACAACTTTTCTGAATTAAATGTTGGAATAAAAGGTCCAACTTATACTTGTGTAAACACAATAATATGAACTTCAATTGAAGAGAAAATATAATAAAAATCTATTCATATAAAGCACAATTTTCAGAAGGGGGAAACAGCCCATATTAAACATGCAGTTGGAACCACTTCACTAGTTCAGTTTGAAAGTGGGCGTCAATTTGGAATGTGACAGTGTTTCTCTACATGCAAGTTTCCAGACTTAATATTTAACTGAATATCACAACCAATGCAAAACAGAAAACATGCAGGAAAGTCTGGAATCTATCTGAAGACAAGATCAGTAGAACTTGGAATGAACAGTTTCATGCTTTCTTACTTGCTTCTTCCCAGACCAACTTCCAACACTTAGTCGAGTCTTCTTGCAGCTGTCATATGCTTCTTTGCAATTAATCTTGTTTGCTCCACTGTGACAAAATATTCAAATTTACATTACACAGAAGTTTAAATGAGAGTAACAGTAGTTCACAACGTTCCCAAAGTTAGTTAAGAAATCTTTTACCTTTCAGTATGTAACTTGGGTGTGAAAAATCTTCTGTGTCTGTGCTTTGTTGACTGGGGACTCTTTGATTTCCTGTTGGGACTGTGAAAGGATAATAAAACTATTTTTAAAGGCACAAGAACACTATATGTATATGGTATCCACTTCAGGTGTTGTAGTTTGGAAATAAAAAAGGTAGTGGGACAGTAAGTAAATTTCAAGGATAGTGTAACTGATTTATGAATCTGGCAATTCCTTAGGGTATATTAAAGAATGAATGAAATAGGTATGACTAAAGAAATATTAAATATAATTTACATAACACTGGTTCTGAAACTGTCACTGACATCTACAGATGGTACATCATAAATGTGTAAATAATTATAGTTGTATATAAGAGAAAAATTCTAACTAGTGAATGATGGAGACTAATTCCTTGCTAATAGCCATGAAAAGACTGAATATGATCTTCTGGAAGATAACAATGCATGCATCTAAATATAAACCAAAAATGATGATATCTGTTCAGTACTTTCACTGTATAACAAAGCCATGGCATGAAATGACATAAGATCATACTAACTCAGACATGCAATACTCATGCAATAATTTTAGAAAACAGTACTTACATATTTAAGTAATCATTAAATAGTCAACATACCTCCACAATTTAAAAGCTAATGGTGTATAAAAGAAATTTTTAGGTTTCTTACGGTGACACAGGCATGAGTTACATGGGAAGATGATTTATCTTATGTCTTTGTAAGTTAAAATAAGAAACAAGATTTAACACAATACATTTAAAACAATAACATTATATTTATGCAAAAAAAAGGTAAAGTTGTTCCTGTGCTTAACTAATTAAGCACTACACCATGAAGACGTACGGGGGAGTAGCTGCATAGATGCACATTTTCTTGACCTCAGCACTATTTGGAGGAGAGCAGTCAGGTTCATGCCCAGCCACTTTAC